GGATCGGGAGAGCGCATTTGTTAGTAATACCAGCCCGATTCTTCTCCCTGTGGGAGTGGTGCCTCCTGGGACCCTTCGTAATTGCCCCTTCATCCAGGCTCCTGGGCAAACACAGGAGTCCAGCCCGCTGGTGGCGTAGGCTGTCCTGGAACAGGCTGGGTTTCCCAGGTGAGAAAGCCGATGGGAGCCCCACGGGAGGGCAGCTCCCGGATATCCCCAGCTCCACCTGCTCCTCGGTCACACCATAGCACAAGGTCCTGCGCGGCGGGCCGAAGGGCCGAGGTTGTGGCCTCCCTGGGCGACGCCACCCATCAGCCTCCTTCCTGCTGTGCGGTGAGGCATAGTTCTGGCCTGGTCCTGATGCGGGAGCTGGTCCCAAGTAGCCCCGGCCCAGGCTTGGACACCCCTCATCCACGGATCCCTAAAAGGGGGCTCCCAGAGCCTAGCTCGAGAGTCGGCTTCCCCCCACAGTGGCCCTGACAGTTCCCATGCATCTTGGACCCAGGGGAAAGATTCCAGTTCTGCCCCGGAAACAGAGTGGCACTCGGAGCCCATCAGACTACAGGGGTCAGGAAGGCGCTGAGTCTTCCTTCCCACTGGCGTCTCCCCTTCCCTGCACGCTCTTCCTCTCTTCTGCTCCCACAAACGTGTGGGCCCCTGGGGGCTGTCGGCAGGGGGCTCTGTCACCTAGCAAACACTGAGGTGCATTTTGAGAGCTCATCCAGCCATGAATGGCTCAGCTCCCCCGCTGGACCGTCAGCTTCTCCAGGGACCAGGCTTATGTCTTTGTACCCCGCACGGCGGCTCGCAACTGGCATGGACACAAGGGCCGGATGGGCACTCCCCACGTCCCTCCGGCACCTGGGCTTGGCTCCTTGCGGGCAGGCACTTCTTGTCTCTGCATTTCTGCAGGGCCCAGTGCCAGAGCTCTAACACTGGAGAGGTCCATCAGCGCTGTTGTTCATTTCACTCATGCCATGTGAGGGAAGGTCTTTGTAAAGGATTCAACGTGATGACTTAATGGACATAGACAAGATCCTCTGATGCATTTGACACTTACACTAAGGGACGTATGGCGGCTGATGCCGTGGACACGTGGACTGATGCAAATTCCACCCTCAAGACACTAGTGACCTACTTAGAAAATTACATTTCTCACTGTTCTTTGTGAGCAAAGATGATCCATGCATGGAGGACATGGGATTTCAGCTGTCTTCCCAGTGGAAGGCATGGGCCTCCTGCTACATCATTCTTTCCTTCCTTCAACGTTTGTGGGTACCCACTGTGTGCCGACTGAGTACTCCAGGAGAACAGGCCCGGGTTGACCCTGCATGGAGGACTCACAGTCTGATGGGGTGAGGTCATGTCCACAACGAACTCATTACATGGGGACAGGCACTGCTTTAGAAAGATGGTCTAAGTGCCCTGGGATTAAGAAGAGAGTAGATGGATTCCTCCTCCCAGGGGCAGGAAGGGAGGACAAATGTAGGGAAGGCCATTTGAAGGACAGATCCGGATGAGCAGTAGAGTATTCTAGGCCAGAGGATATTAACAAAGGCATTGAAATACAGCAGGGCTTTGGGGATACAACTACTACGGGGGACTCCCTTGGTTGGGGAATAGGGCATTTGCTTCTAATAAACTCCGCTGGTTTCAAGGACTCTTCTTGGAAATCAATGCCCGGATTCACTTCCCCTAATCGTCCCGAGTACAGACTTGGGTGAACAGGCTTTCTGAGCAGCAGGGTAGAACTCGTGCCTGGAACCCCGGACACAACCAAAGACACCCTCGGGGGCCTGGCAAGAGGCCATGCCTGACCACGTCCCCAGCACTGACCAGCTAGGTGTGGGCAGACCCTCTCTAGTTCTTTCCCCCCTCATGTGACTAAGAACCTTATCATTATAAAAGCTGTAAAAATGCCAGACTTTAACCTTATTAAAGTCACACTGTTCTGGTCTTGGCAACCCTAATAGGATTTTACAATTCAGCCTCTACAGCTGGAGTCCTTGAATAGCCCAAGGTCTGTCAGGGTTCGTGATGGGTGACTAATGTGATCACAACTGGAGCCAGCCCACCCACATTCCCACCCTCCCCCTGCTCAGCCCCCACCAGGCTCACCGTTGCCTTCCATAATGGCCTCCTCCTGCTTCATTACAAATGGAAACTGAGAAATTTCCACTGTCCTGGGCTCCGGTAAGAACGTGTGAGTGTGCCCTATAGCACTCGCTGGCTGACACATTATTTTCCTCTGGATTAATGAAGCGCAGTGAAATTTTTAGCTGTTATTGTAATGATTAATACCTCTAATCAATACCGCAGGAGAGGCAAACAGGAAAGTGACATGAGAGCCAGCAGAGAAGGGGGGAAGAGGAAAAGTTGGAAGGGAAGAGAGGACACGACGCAGAGAAGGGAGAGGGAAGACACAGAAGGAAGGACAGAGACACAGTGGGCAGGTGGCCCTTCTCCCAAGGGCTGTGTTGGATCCAACAAGCCTAAGCACACTCCTAAGGAGAGGTCTCCCAGAAACAGTTATGAGCAGAAGTTCTATTTATGTTATGGGGGTTATGGACCATTGAAGACTGGAAGAAAGAGATGGGCTTTCTCCCAAGAAAAACACGCACAGAGAGGAATTTTGCACCCAGTGCCAGGGAGTTCACCAAGCCCCTAGACCTCCATAAAAAACAAACACTGACAGTCCTGTGCCCAGATGATGGTGCTTCGGCAGCTGGGACTGCGTCACATCCATCAGCCCCCCTCTGCAATGTAAGCCTTCCAGAAACAGGGTTGGGAAGACGACAATCACATCAGTCATGCGCATCCTCTCTGTAAAGCCTGTCTTGCCCTATAAGAACGCAACCCTCTCCTCCTAGCCTTAGGCCTACCCCAGTGCAGCTTTCCAGGAGTCCACACTCGCAGGGTACCCTCATCCACTCCTGGCCATCTAGTTGCTCCTCCAAGAGGTGGTGTCCACTCTGCACATGAACGAGCCCCAAGTCCTTGAGACCAGCACGCAGATGGACCGAGGGATGGTGGCCAAACCACCAATGGGAAAAACATTTGCAACTCAAATGAGTCCTCCAGAGCCAAGTTTTTGCCTCTCCTGGTGATCATTTTTATCAGGTTTCATATTCTGTATCATCAAAAGCTGGCTCTAAGCAAACGTCATTGAAATCCTGTGTCAGTTTCAACAGGGCTAGAGATTTTCTTTCCTGTCTCTTGACCCACACCTGTAAACAATGTTGGGGCCAGAGTGATTGACGTTTACAGAACCCCGTGCACTAAGCTGTGGACCATCACATAACATTGTTGCTCCTTAAAAGCAGAGGGGGGAAATCAGGTTCTATCTGCCCTATAAAAGTTGAATTATCTCTGTGATTGGAAAGCAGTGTGAAGCTCAACAGCAAACACCACTTTACATACTCAGCAGAGGAAAGCATTAGCTAACAACACAGATTTTATTTATCACTATATTTTTTAACATTTTATTTTGAGAGAACTATACAAAGAAAGTTGCAAAAAACACACATTCGCTAGAATCACAACAGCCAAAAAGTAGAAACAACCCAAACGTCTACTGACAAATGATTGGATAAATGAAATGTAATATACACGTGCAACAGACTACTATTCAGCCTTAAAAAGGAAGGAGATTCTGGCACATACTATAACGTGGATGAGCCTTGAGGCATTATGCCCGGTGAAACGAGCCTGACACAGAAGAAGAAATGTTGTAGGACTCTATTGACATGAGGCACCTAGAACAGGCAGCTCCTAGAGACACAGAGTGGTTACTACTGGCTGTGGCCTTGGGCACATGGGGAGTTAGCGTTCACCAGACATGGTGTTTCAGTATGGAAAGTTCTGGAGAGGGATGGTGGCGATGGTTGACAACAATGTGAATGTGCGTAATGCCGCTGAATGCTAAATCACCACACATGCTACATGAAAGAAGTTGGAAGTAGAAATTGCGTTATTGTATTTTGCCCCCACTGCCACCAAGTGTGCGAGGAAGTCCCGCGTCCGCCTCACTCAGCCTTGCCGGTGGTAACACCCGACCTAGCTACAGCGCACTATCCAAACCAGGACACGGACACTGGTGCAACCCAATCAATTCAGACTTTACCAGTGTTACAAGCACTCGTGTGTGTGTGTGTGTGTGTGTGTAGGGACACGCGCATGCACAGTTCTGTGCAATGTTCCCTCCTGCATAGCTGCCACCAAATTCAAGGTCCATAATACCCCCACAGGGCTCCTTCATGCTACCCCTTTCCAGCCACACCCGCTCTCCCCGCCACCACCAACTTTGAACTCCTGGCCACCATGACATTGTGCTTCATCTCCATAATTTTTCATTTCAAGAATGTTACAGAAATGAAATCACATGGAATGTGACCTTTTGAGGTTGTTTTCTTTGCTCAGCATAACTGCCTTGAGACCCATCCGACTTGTTGTCTGTATCTATGGTTAGTTGCTTTTATTATGGAAGGGTATTCCACGATATGGATGCAAAGTTCTGATTATATTTTTATCCGTAATACTAACGAATTAACTGCTCAATTCTTTGTCCACATTAAGACCACTGGTAAGTAGACTTGGTTCCCATGTGGTCACTATAGGAGCTGCCATCCCAGGGGCTCACTCGTGTGTCCCAGGTGTCCGCCCACACAAGGGCCTTTGGGCCACAGACTGTGTTTCCTTAAAGAAAGAGGTCTTGGGGGGCAAGCTCTTTGCCCTGCTGTCCTTCACCTGTGGGGACCCAAGTGGACAGGCAGGATGATACAATGGGGACACCATCAGTCACCAGAACTGGCACGGTCCCCAGACCCCTCCTTTCCCACCTTAAGTGCTGAGACTCTCTGGTGGCATCATGGGACAGGCAGCTGGGGCTCCTCCAAAAAGGAAGGTAAGCCATTGTTCAAAAAACATGATGTTTCCATGGCACCCGGCTGGCTCCATCAGTTAAGCATCTGCCTTCGGCTCAGGTCATGATCCCAGGGTCCCAGGATCAAGCCCCACAACAAGCTCCCTGCTCAGATAGGACCCTGCTTCTCCCTCTCCCTCCGCCATTCCCCCTGCTTGTGCTCTCTCTCAAATAAATAAATAAATAAAAATCTTTTTTTAAAGAAAGAACATGATGTTTCCAATTCTCAGAAGGGAGCTTTGTATGTCTCCCACCCAATGCAGCCTTTGGCCATTTCCTTGACATAAGCTCCCACCCCCTGTGCCTAGGCCAGTGCCTGGTACCCATGAGCACTCAATGAGTGTTGTTGTGGATGGTGGTGATATTGAAGCAGACAGGCCAAGTCAAGGGCGGGGATTACAAAAGGTCTCCAAATCTGGTGAGCAAGACGTCCTCTCATTTCATTTCAAAGCCCTACCACCTCGGCTCTTTGACAACAGGTGGGAGTCACTGAGAAACAATAAAATAGTCCCTTTCGTTTTCCTCCTCCCTTCTGGCTCTGACTGCCCTTGCCGCTCCTCCCTTCACACCCACCGTCCGCCTCCCAGACTGGGACAGAACTCCGTGTTCTGGGTGGGGTGGGGCTCCTTACCTCAAAGCAAGTGGCAGAGGAGGTGAAAAAGGCATGCTGGGTAGGGTGGCGGTGGAGGGGAGGCAGTTCAGGGGACTCTTCTTCAGGCATAGACGGGAAGGAGCAGGACAAAGCTGCCGAGAAACACAAAACGAAACAGGACACAGGAAACTTGGAGACTTTCCCTCCATTTTCCCCTCCCTACATCCACACCTTCACTTCCCAGCCTTTAACTCCTTCTGTGGGCAATCTGAAGAGTTGGCATTTCTAGATAATAGACAGGCAAAGAGCAGTCATGCACCAACATCCCTGAGACTGCCCAGATCCCGAGACTGTTCCCAGCTGCTCAGCTCCCTCCTCTGAGAAGAATAAGGAGAATACGGCTGGAACTAACCTGGACAGGACACAGTCGTAGACATGAGCTCTTTGGCAAGAACAAAGGTTGTTTAGACGCAAGGGATTAGCCCACCTTCAGGATCCCAAAGGTGACCACTCATAGATGGGCAAGGCACACCAACTTCCATGAGAGTCATGTCATAGCTCAATAAAGGGTTGGCGAGGACCTGGTAGCCCCATCTCTGTGCGTTCCTCCCCCTGGGGTCCATCCCGGAGCTTCCATTGAGTGTCAGCTGTGGCCTCTATGGACGCATTAAGATTCTTCTAGCTCTGGAGATGGAGTGGAGGCCCTTCTCTGATATCAGTGATGACTCTCACCATCCGCTCAAAGCTTTGGGATTTGGAGATATCCATGTTTTCATGACCAGAGTTGCTGTGCATTCGATCTAGGACTTGGTTTACTTGGGAACCTCCATGTCGCAAACTCAGCATTTCTTCAATAAGCTCCATGTTCATGGACCATTATCTGGTGCCTGCAAATAGCCTCAACTCCTGGTCTTTGTTCTTTAAGTGAAAGATTATGCCTACTAATACAAGTCCTCAGGTCCTGAGAATCTCTACTGAGATCCTAGGGTTAATGCAGGCTCCTGCACATCCAAATGTTGGTTGGAAGATGGGAGTCAGCAGGATTTCACCTGCATGGTCCATTTTCATCTAGAATAGGGCTATGCCTGCATTGATTTGTTACTAGTGGAATGTAAATATGAGCCCACAGAGTGTGACAGATTGTGACACGAGGAGTGGTGGGTTATTCAGAAAATCTGAGACACAAAGCCCATGAGATGTCTATATTTCTAAGCACCAATAACTCCTTCTTAATGGGATGACCAGAGAAGAGCAGACACCTGCCCCATTGAAAATATGCTTACGTCCATCCCTGCTCCCCATTGGATGATCTGATCCCTTCTCATCCTTCAAGTCAAAGCTTCAATGTGACCCGCTCACGTGGCTCCTGGGGCCAGCCCATCTGAGCCAGATCTATCAGCTGCTATTCTCACCCACACAGAGGGGGTGGCCGAGCAGAGACTCGGAGGCAAGAAAGAGCATGGCATCTCTAGGGGCTGGCAGAAAGCCAGGGGGACCGCCATAGTGAGTGCCGGGAACAACAGCATAGGATGAGGTTGGGGAGTCAATGAGAGCCCGCTGGTGCAGAATTTAGGGGCCACAGTGAGAGGTTTGCTCTTGATCCCAACGTCCAGAGCAGGGAGGGAAATTTGTAAATTGCTTACATTGAGTTAAGGCAAAGCTTTCTGCCCTGATTCAAGCCACTCTGCAGGTTAGTGTTTGCTGAGCCCAACTCTCCTGAGCTGAGCCCTTGGCCCAGAAGGAACCATTTGAGGATTCAACAGTGGCAGAAAAAGACAAGCCACATCACAATGGGGCTTGAGCTACGGGAGGAGAGAGGAACGCATGTTGCTGCTTGGTGTTGGGGATCAAGCGGAGGGCTCCTTTCATCCTGCTGGTGGCTGCCTCCCATCTGCCTCACTCCTCCTCTGGCCTGCCTCTCTGCCCCCCTGCCCCACCCTGCCCCGGAACATAGAGTTCTCTGTTGCAGGCTCTGGGAGCGCCCCGGACTACACGCAGGGCTGCGCAGGCTGGTGGCAGGTGTGAGGTGTGAGGGAAGGAAAGCGGGAGGGAGGTCAAAGATGGAACGTGAGCAGGCAGGAGGACTGCCCCCGAGTCTCCTCCTCGCCTATTCTGGCCCTCACCTCTGACAATGCAAAGGGAGCAGCTTGTAAAAATGAATGAAACCAAATGCTGCCCGATGGATTTGGTCAGCCCCCGTGACTTCGGCTTTGCTCCCTCCTTCAGCACCACCATCACGGAAAGCGCCTACTGTGTGCCCGGCGGGCCCTCTGACTAGGAGGGTGGTGGCTTATTGTCCCCTATTTGCCAGGGACCGGGGCTTCCCAGGACATGGGACTCTCAGTGCCAAAAGCAGGACGATCCCAGGCAAACTACCTGGGATTCCCACCACCCTAGTAGGAGTTGACCATCCAGTAGAATCAACAGTCAACAATGTAAGAGCAGCACCAGGTGTCTTGTGGGCAGTTGGGGCAGGTAGGATTAAAAAGTCTCCCTCCTTAGAACTGGAAACACGTTCTTGGCACCTAACTCCGTTCTTGAAAGGACCCAGGGCCTGCTTCCTTGGTGCTGCCCTAGGCCGAGCCCAAGCCCGTAGGATGGGCAGGCAGGCGGTGGAGTTGGGACCGCTGTCTCTTATTTGCTAAGGTTGCTTTCACTATCTCAAGCTGCGGGAGCTCGCCCCCTGGCTCTGGAGGCCTAGGTCAGCTAAGGACAGGCTAATTAGCTTGCCCCTCTGGGCCTTTCTCTTCGTGACACCGCCTCTGGCTCAGAACAAAGGCTCCTCATTTTGCTTGGCCCAGAGTTGAATGCGAATGTGCTGCCACCTGCTGGCCGAGGGGACTGTTTTCAGGTGGTGAGCGGAAGCTTCAGGACCGACAGCGGCAGGTGAGCCCGGGTACCGCCGAGCAGGGGCCACAGCCTGGTCTCCCAGAGTGCCCTGGGCCAGACCTCCAGTGGGCAGCACCTGGGGAACCCCTCAAAGGCATATCTGGAAGGCCCCTGGAAGCTCTCCTGTGCCTGCGCTCAGCCCCAGCATGTGTTTCTCAAATTCCCAGCTAGTAAGGGCACCCTGTTAACTATCATGCAATCCTAGCCCCAGTGGTGTGCTGGAGTGGGCTGGACCAGAGCCAATTGTTAAATATTCAGGGATTTTTACAAACTGCAATGGCAACTTCAAATCAGTCACAGTGGGAGCATTTTCACCATGAAAATTGGCAAATGCTACAAATTAGAGGTCTCTCCACCCCACCCCCTCCAGTGGATTTGTCAGCACAGCACTGCAAAGGTCCTGTCAAACTTCAAACCCTGTAACCTGGGAGAGAGAAAGGAGCCTGTTCTCAGGAATTGTCTCAGATAAACCACCAAGTATGGAATCAATTTCACGGAGGAGAGAGACGTTCGGGTAAAAAGGAATTCGTGGGGAAGACCTGTTTTTTAAACTCCCCTAGAACAGCGAATGTCATAGTTAAGGGCCCTGCATCAGAGACACCTGGGTTTGAGTGACAGCTCTCGAGCTTGCTAACTGGATGACAGTGAGCCTCACCTCCTTGTTCCTGGGTTCCCTGTCTGCAAGTGGGGATAATAGTAGCAGCTATCCTGAATGGGCTTGTGAGGTGAGGCACTGAAATCTTAGAATATTGCCAGGCACAAAGTGCTCAATATATGTTAACTACTACCAGTTATCAATTAGAACCACAACCTCCGCAGGCAGGAAGCTGATCTTGCCATCTTCCTCCTAAACCCAGTTTCATCTCTGGGTGTCCTTCCCAGGGCTGGGAGGTGGGGATCGGTTCCTCTGTCCTCCCCAGCAGCTAAACCTTGACATCAGCTTCCTTTTGGCTACTCATCTGTGCTTGTCCCCTGTTGTCGGTATCCAGAACAAAGTATCTCCTAGAACACAAAGTGATCCTGTAACTCCCTGAATGTAAAGGCATTAAGGGTGTAAACAGTGGTCACAGAAGCAACCCGAAAGATTTTCTGTAAATGAGTTCCTGGCTAGTTAAGATGTCCAGTATGTGGATTACCCCCACATCTGAGTATGGGGATTAAGAGGTATGAGCTTCCAGTTATAAAATAAATAAGTCACACACACACACACACACACACACACAACATCCAGGATGCAAGTTCAGAAAAGGCAGGACTCCAATCTGATTGTAACTACATAACTTAAATCCTCCCAAGTCGTATTGCCTTCTAACCAGCAGGAAAACCCTATTCCCCAAAAACCTGACACTTCCAGTTACAAATCGACTGGCCAGATGATGTCATGTGATCACATGACCCAACCGATTGCTAGACTCAAGAAAGGTAGAAAGCGTCTTTATTCAGAGTGGGGGTAGGAGGCTAAAAATGAGGGGAGAACCCACAGTCACTACAGCAGTGGGTTTCCTTAAGCCTATTCACTTCTTGGCTTCAGGGCACCTCTGGACCATCCTCCAGATGGGATAACCCGGGATAAGCTGTCCTGTGAGTTCAGGTGGGGCAGGTGACTGAATTTCCTCGGCAACATCCTGCCTTGGTGTGACTTTGGCCTCCACATCCCACGAGGCACGGAGCCCACTCTGTTGCGTCTACAGCACCTTTCCAGAATTTCCCTCCTTTCCAACCCTGGTCTCCCCACTGCAGCTCAGACCTCTACAATCACCAATCTGGGTTATTGAAATAATTCCCTCATTGTTCCTTCTGCCCCCATCTGGCTCCCCTAAAAGCCATCCTGCTGGCAGATTCCTCGTCCAGGTACAAGGCTTACCAGGGCTACTCAAGATTGCCCATGACAGGGGCGCCTGGGGGGCTCAGCTGGTTGAGTGTCTGCCTTCAGCTCAGGTGGTGATCCCGGGATTCTGAGATCGAGTCCATCATCGGGCTCCTGCTCAGGGGGGAGCCTGCTTCTCCCTCTCCTTCTGCTGCTCCCCCTGCTTGTGCTTTCTTACTCTGTCGAATGAATAAGGAAAATCTTAAAAAAAAAAAAAAAAAAAAAAGACTGCCATGACATCCCAGGTCCTGTCCCAAAATCCATATTCCTTGGAGTTCCGAAGACTTTCTATGAATCAACTCTTTGCCTGCGTGTCTAGGCTCATGTCCCTTGCACGCTTGAGGCTCCAGCGAGAAAGAGCAGCTTGCCACTCCTGAGTATGAATTGCGCTCCTCACCACTGTGTTTACTCCTGCACTTCATCCGCGGGCATGCTCCTCCAGCCTCAGCCCGGCTCCATCCTGCCCTTTTTTTTTTTTTAAGATTTATTTATTTATTTATTTGAGAGAGGGAGAATGAGAGACAGAGAGCAGGAGAGGGGGGAGGGTCAGAGGGAGAAGCAGACTCCCTGCCGAGCAGGGAGCCCGATGCGGGACTCGATCCTGGGACTCCAGGACCATGACCTGAGCCGAAGGCAGTCGCTTAACCAACCCAGGTGCCCCATCCTGCCCTTCTTGTACAGATCCACGTCTTCCTCCTCCAGGAAGCCTTCCCAAGCTGGGAATGCTCTCACCCTCCCAAGTGTTGTCACAGTGCTTTGTGCTTCTGTTAGGCTTGGTCTACAAGCACTTCTGCACTCCCTGCTAGAATGTCAGCTCCCACAGGGCTGGGGCCGTGCTTCCTCGCTCATCCTCGTTCCCCTGACAGAAGCTCGCGTTAATGCCTACTGCGGCAGGGACACAGAGCTTTCTAGACTGACTTGCAGAGCTGAGCCAGTGTTCCACGGGAACCAGGCGTGAATGTGAACAACTCCTGGGATGACCCGTGAGCCGGTGGCCAGTCGGAAAGCTGGGTGACCATTTACACCCCTCTGGGAGCAAACATTTGGGCTCCGTTGGAATACACAAATGTAGGTTCACAGTTTCCGCAAAAGAGGAGCCCCTTCTGCCCTTCTGGGCGTGTGTTTGAGGGGCTTCAGGGGGTGATGCACAGGACTGGCAAAGACTGATGTCATCCCCTTCCTTTTTTTTTTTTAAGCTCAAAGTATGAGTAGCCATGAAAATCAAAGCCCTCTGTGTGGGGGAGGGGTGTTAAAGGAAACTGTCAATTATCTGGACAAACCATTCATTTTTCAGTTGAGGAACCTCAATCCCAGAGAATCAAGGGGGGGGAGGGTCTGCCCAAGGTCACGTGGCCAGAGTGGAGGGTGCCACATAGACTGTCCCCATTCCCAGCCCAGGTTAAACATGTCATCACTCCCAAGCTTACATCAAGTTTTGGGAAATACAAGGTATTTGAGATTTGTGTGTTTACTTTTATGCTTGCCATCATAAAATGATTTTATGTTTATACAACCAAAGAAGGAAGACATGCATTCGATTTCAAAGTTTCATTCCATATGGCATTCCGTCAGTTACTTCGATTTTCCCCTTCTCTGTTCATGGTCACCCTTTGTCCTTGGGGAAGGACCAAGAGCCTTTTCCGGTTGTCTGTTGGGGCTAAGGAGTCTCTCTAGGACCACCCACTCTGCCTCCAGTTTGTCACCGGCTAGGTTTTATTGCAGTAGATAAGACTTTGGACCTCGGGCTTGAAAGGCCCTTTGTTTGTGGATTACAAGGGGTCACTCAGTTTATCTCATTCATTATGCCACCCTACTTTTTTGAGTGGCAAGGTTAAGGCCTGGGGCGAAATGCTGATGGAAAGGAACATTAAGCACCAAGTTGTGCGGTGTTTGTGTTCATTCCAATCCACTTTCACCTCCCCGAGCTGGTGAAGGTTGTAACTACAGCCCAATTCTCTAGTGACTCACTCCAGGAAGAGGGCATGTGCCAAGAACCTGGCTCTCATGGGGCTGCTTACCTGCGGTGCCAGGACAGAGATGGCATCGTTCGGGGAAGATTCAGCAAGTCCGACATCCGGAGACAAGCATGCACGGTCGACTCACCCCCCAGGCTGGAAGAGAACATTTTTTCCCACTGATCGGTCTGTGTATTTACCCCCACAAGGGCAGTCAGAGGGCTTCTGGAATACTTACTCCCTTTGGTCTCAAACACAGCCTTCTCAATAGGCCAGGAAGGGAAGGGACCAGCATTCCTGGAGGCCTGCTAAGTGCTGGGGGGTTTGCCCATTGTCACTGTTGGTTCTGGTCTCCCAACTTGGAGAGCAGCATTATTCCCTTTCCCACTTTGCAGGCGAGGAAATTTAGGCACGTGGAAGTTAAGGAGTTGGGCCAGGCCCCGCCAGCTATTCAATGGCAGACCTAGGATTCCAACTTGAAGCGCACGGCCAATGTCAGAAATTGTTACCTTTCCCAGGCTGGTGCCCAGTCGGCCTCTGAGACATGCGTCCTCTGGTGGCAGCTACTGGCAGGACGCCTCTGCAAGCTTGGTCTCTCCCCTGCCTCCCAGACACGTCTTTTGCTCTCCCTTCATTCTCTCCACCTGCATGCCCTGCAACAGCCTCGCAAATTCCACTTCCCTGTGAAGATTTCCCAAGCAGGCAATTCCAGGAGATTGCTCTTTCTTGCAACTCTGTGCCCCTTGCTTAGCTCCGCTCACACAAACGTGCACGTGCCCCTGTAAACTTCCCGCTGCTCTGTAACTCGATGGCATGGATAAAGCCTCAAGCCCCAGGAATGCTTAGCATAACATAATACCAAGTAGGTGCTGGTAAGCATGTACTGAAGGATTAACCGATGGATTTTTAGGGAGAGCCTAAGCGAGTCTCTGCTTCCTTTAAGTGGAGAAGCATGGAACTCTCAGACAGCTGATTGCTATCTCTATCTCTCTGATCAAGACTCACCATTGTACCTCAGTCTAGAACGTTCTCCCCGTCTTTCTGTGGGTTTCCCGGGAGACCGCCATTGCCCTGCACTAAACCCATGCCTCCGGCCATCTGCCTGTGCTGGTGGGGAGGGAGAGAACACCCTGCCTGCCTGCTGTGTCCAGGAGGCTTTCTGGCAGCCTTCCCTGATCCCTCATCTTTCCCCAAGTCTGGGTACCCACGCCCCGCACCTTCCCAGAGCCTTAGTGATGATGGCCTAACCACCAACAACACCTGGGATCTCCTTAGGGACACCTCTGCCTGTGCAAACCCCAGATCTCATCCTCTTCCCTTCTGGAATTCTGCCGGTTTTCTTTTCCCTTAGCTTACAGCCTTTCCTCTTGGAGTGGTCTGTTTCTTTCTAGCTCTTTGAGAAGAGCAAAGATGTCAGAGCACCAGCATTGGCATGGCATGTTTGCTCCCACTTTCACCCCTCCTGCCGCTCTGAGGTTCCCCGGTCATTTGGGGGTCTTCCCTGCACCGACCCCCCCCCGCCCCCGCAGCTTGCTTTCCTCCCCAAAGCTGCCTCCCGCCACGCCCGGGGTGTGGAGAAAGCTCTGCGGGGGCATCCAGAGCCACCCTTCCCCACGCCTGGGTGTGCTTTTCCATGTGTGGGTGCCAACCTGTACCCCGTGGGCTTGAGCATGTACCTGCTTGTCTCCCCAAGGCACCATCACTTCTCACCTCGATTACGGAGGCCTGGCCCTGAGACGGCCACATAGTACGTTGTCAATCAATGTTAATCGAAGGCAGAACGGAACTGCAGATGAGCACGTGGTCTTGATTCAGCTTGATGAATACACTCCGCACATGAAATCAACCTGACATTTACAGTCGCGTCCCTCCGAGCCCACCTCTGCACTAGACAGAGCTGGAAAACAAGGGTGAGCGCAAGCATTGCATCTGGAACTCCTGGAGTCCAGTTGCCCCCCTCTGCAAGATGGGCACCAGGACAGGCAAGTGGCTTGCCCTCAGTCCTGCAGTGCGAAGAGCAGACTCGGGCTGACCCGACAAAGGCACTGCGTCGGTCAGGCCTTCAGAGCGGTAATAGGCTCTGCTCCTAAGATACCTGGGAACTCAGACTCACTTTTCCCCCAGTTCTTTCTAATTAGTAAGGTTTGTGCTTGGGCTCCTAAGTCCTAAATAGCATGGATGAGTCCTTAAGAGAATTCACACGCACGCAGGAAAAGCTAGGGTCCTGTGAGGGGCTGCAGAGCGGCTGTCCGCAGGGAAAGCATCAGGAATATGTGCAAGATGGAGAGGACACGTTGAAGGCATCCCCTTTCTGTCCCACAAGCCTGGCATTGCGCATGCCCGGCCCTGCCCCTTAGACGGCAGGCGGACGGGGGCTGCGCTTGCCCGCATCATTCCCGTTGAACCTGTGGGACTGCTCTTGTTGTTTTCGGCAAACGGCTGGTGCCTCATGCAAAAAGTAGCCTTTGCCCATCCCTGTTCCATTTATCTTTCGGTGTGTACGTCTTTTCTTCTTTATTAGCAGGGGCACTTGCTGGAAAACTCTATCTCTGTCACTTAGCAGTTTGCCGTGTGCCTTCTGTTCATACCCCACCTGGAGTTGGAGTCATGACTCTGTGACGGAACAATTGGTTGCTATGGCAATGACTGTGGCACCCCAGGCAGCGGGCCTGCACTCGAGAGAGGCAGGGGTGCTGGAAGCATGGGGTGGGGGCAGGAGGAGGTGTTGCAATATCGCGAGTGTGACTTTTTAGACCGCTGACTGATTTCTGCAGCTTGGCTCCTCTGCTCTTCTTCCTCACTTACTCCCGCCTCCCACCACCAACCACTCCACCCAAATATGGAGACCTTCCCCTACTTTCTCTCTTCTGCCTCCAAATCCAGGGTAGTGCTTGCCTCCTCGATCCAGGGCTAACCACACCTGGCTAATCCCTTCTGCAACCAAAACCCTCCCACTCCTGGTGAGTTTGCACTTAATTCCTTCGAGTGGAATCACATGCTTTGTTCCTCACCTTGTGACTTTTTTTTTTTTTTCCCATCAGGCTCATGTACTTTATCTTCCCAACAGTATCCAGGCCCCATGAGAGCACGTCTGGGCTGGTTGGTTGTAGCCTCACACAGATCCTAGGTGGGGCTCTGCTGACCACAGACCCTTGGTGAATGCTGCTCCCTGACTCCAAGAGATGCCCGGCTCAGACCCAAGCCTGTCCAATTAAATGAAAAGTAAAATTACTCAGTCTTACTTTTTGAGATCAGTAAGCTGGAGTGACAGGCAAATTGGACAGCTCTGGATATCATTTTGGCAATCTAATAAAAGGAAAAAAACTCTAAAGCTTCCATTGTATAAAATACAGAAGAATAAAAAGAGTGCTTTGTTATTTGGAAGTGTTTAATTTTTGTAGTTATTAAATGTTTATGTTTATGTTTCCAGGGAAATGTCCACATCCAGGGCCTGTGACCCCCTTAGGTTCACATGGCCAGAGACCCTCTTCTGTATTTTCACGTGAAGGGCCATGCATGACTGCCCAACCTAATGGCATCTACTCGTGGCTGGGAGAACTTGGATCTCTTCCAGACTACCTTTTAGGCCAAGGTTAAGCTCACAAACGAGGTGTGGGTGTGGGGCCTTCCCTCTACCGGGAGTCCGGGAGTGCAGAGCTGGGGGACACTCCGCTTGCCGTGTGTGGTGGTCGGCAAACAGAGCTGCGCTGGGCCACGCGGTGAAGGAGGCCATGTTGCCCCAATGTCCTTTCTGTGGGATCTGTCCTCTAGTCCCCTGAGGGGCCCGGGGCAGAGGGATCAGCTCCCCCAACACTGAGCCCAGGGCTCTGTCCACTCGTGCCAAGGGCGCTGTGCCTGGAAAGCACGACGAAGCAGAGAGGCAGCCCTGGCCTGGGGACAGGGTGTGGGCTGTCTGGGTGCACGTGCCCAGTCAGAAGAGCTGGGTGTGGGGGGGGCTTGCCTTTCTCACACACTGAGGCCTGAGGAGGTGCTGGTGGGGTGTCCTCACCAGGCCGAAGCCCCCAACAGACATCAGACCTGGAGGCCCCCAGACAGGAGGGCTGGAGAAGAGTCCACACTAACTGGGAGAAGGGCCTCTGGCAGGGACGGGCTTTGAAGAAGCTGCTCCCACCGCCCCTTCGCCCCAGCCTTGCCACCACAGTGCCTTGTGGGGAAGACGATCTTGCGTGCCCCTGCCCTGGCCGGAGTGGGTGGGGTGAGGCTGGTGGGAGCCCTTGACTGAACTCTGCAGCCCCACGTCAAGGCAGGGCATCCGTTCCCCATGAAATAAGGGTTTGAAAAGTGAATGTGAAGGTTAAGGGAAAGTGTCCCAGTGGCCTCTCCTGGGGGGGAGACGCAAAGACCCTCTCCCCCAGCCCTCAGCAATTACCCAAGGACCCAAGGGCCCTCCGCCACACGGACACACCGCTCTGAGGAGAGGCCAGAACTCATGCTCGGGCCGGGTGGCCAGTCCCACGAGGGGCACCGCTGAGTTGGCCCTTCGGGAGGCAGCCCTCCAGCCGCCCTCACCCCTCGCAGGGCACAGTGGGGCATCTGAGGTGGGCACACAGGCAGCTTCCGAGTGTGCCTTCAGCATCTGGGTGAGAGGCTTTGTCTTTCCCCAAGAAACAATTGCAAGGAGAGAAGGAAAACAAGGGGCGCCTGGGTGGCTCAGTCGTTGGGCGTCTGCCTTCGGCTCAGGTCATGATCCCAGGGTCCTGGGATCGAGCTCCGCATCGGGCTCCCTGCTCAGGGGGGAGCCTGCTTCTCTCTCTCCCACTCCCCCTGCTTGTGTTCCCGCTCTCGCTGTGTCTCTCTGTCAAATAAATAAATAAAATCTTTAAAAAAGAGAGAGAGAGAAGGAAAACAAAGCTCAAATAGCAAGCCACAAGCCCCCCGAGGCTGATGAGCCCTGACGGCCGGTAGCCGTGTTCTCCCGCTTGCTGGCTCCGTCTGCAGTAACAGAGGAGCCGGCCCAGGCCGGCCTGCACACTGCGCACTGTGTCTGCCAGGCTGCTTCACGGCCCAGGAACCAGAAAGAGTGGCAGGCTGCAGGGGAGTAGGGACGGGGCCCTGCAGCTCTGGGAGGGGGGGAGGCACTGGGAGAGCGGGCGCTCCTGGGTCGGGTCTGGCTGGAGGTGCAGGTAACTGAATTATGGGAAAGCCTGGAAGGTTAATATGAAACCAGCCGATGCTGAAAGAGAACAATTAAGAAGGTTAAGGGCCTTAATATTAGATTAATGGTTGCCGGAGGATAAAGTTCACAGCTTCCAGGAAAGCAGTCTGACTCAGAGAAATCTTTTTAGTTGGCGGCTCTCGGTCTGGTTTTGTTGATATTTTTTTGTTTCTTCCTGGTAAATGTGAGAAAAGCACCATTCGCTCCCAGACGCTTCATTCCTCCTCTCCCCGGGGGGCCCCCCTCTTCCCCCCGGCCCTCGTGTTTCTCTTTCTCTGGAAATGTCTGATTGTCTTCAGGTCCTGGAGTGGTTTAGGGTCCCACCTGTTCAGCAAGCCTCACCTCATACTTGTTTCTCGTGCGAGGCTCTCCCTCTGTGAGATCTGTGGGCTCTGTAAGAACACTCCCCTCCATGTTGGTTGTGTTCTGGGGCTAATATTTCAGGGCACTAAGCGGTGTCACAGAGCTCCGCCCAGCAGAGAGGTTCTGAGACACTCAGGAGTTAACCCAAGCATGGGTTGGGTGGCTGAGGAGCCTGGGGCCCACTGAGTTAGGGTCTGTGGAGGAGCCCCCTGGGAGCCGGTGTGGCCCAAAGCTCTCCAGATGCCCTCAGGCCAACCCCTGGGCACAGGGAAGAAAGTCAGGGCAAGTCATAGACCCTGACCCCGGTGTTCTTTGGTCATTTGTGTGACTTCTTTTCTCCCATCCCAGCCGGCGAGTCCCTTGGGGCAGATACTTTGTTTTACTCATCTTTACCATCCTTACAGGGGGCTGGCCATGGTCTGTACGTGGGAGTTGAGTTCATTTTCAAAATCTCTCCCCTTTCTGGGCCCTGAAAACTGCCCAGTTTTCAAGTTGGCATTTTTGGAGGCCCGGATCATGGAAACCAGGTAGGCTCACACAGAATCAGGTCCGGCCCTCAAACAGCCTGGCAAGCAGGGTCACAAGAGCACAGAAGTGCAGACCCGGAAGGGCCCTCAGAGACCCTCCAGTCCAGTGGTTTTCAAACTGTGCTCTGAGGCACCCTGGGGTTCCAGAGGGGAACCTTAGAGACCACTGAGAGGGAGGAGCAGAAGCCCAAGGGGAGGGGCTTCCGGCCTCCACCAGGGCAGCTCCCTCTACGTCCAGAGCTATATTATTATCAAAGAGGAACAGAATACATTGCCCCCAGATATGCCACCTCAGCATATTACTTTAATTAAAGGCACCTAAGAAATAGTTGATGCAAGAAAGACGCCTTGACGCTTTTTGGTCTCTTGAAAGCAGGAGGTAAATCTCCCATGTGAAAGGCACCCAAAGGAAGGAAAACACCCTTAACACCAGTGACAGGGAACTTGGAGCCAAGAAGGCCATATAAACAAACCTTGTTGCCTCTTCCCCCACTTACTACCTGCGGCCCAAACCCTTTATCTTCTCAATTCTTCAAAAATGTACTGTTTCTTTGTCTAAAGGGTATCAGAGCTTCCTGCTCTGGTCGCTACATTGGGTCCTCGTTCTCCTGTGAAGGCTTTCATGCCCCTGTAAAAAGTCAGTAAAACATGTGTGCTTTTCTACTGTCCATCTGCCTTTGTGAGTTTAATTTTCAGCCCCAGCCAGGGACTCCAGGAGGGTCAGGGAAAACGTTCTCCCCTGCACGACTGCAGTAGCCTAACCTGTTTCCCAGCTCCCACCCATGCCAGCCCCTGGGCCCCAACCCCTGTCTTCTTTCCATCCAGCATCCAGAGTGAGTATTTCAAAACCTAAGGCTGGTCAGGTTGCTCTGCTGCTCAAGAGCCTATGTGGGGGGTGGGGTGGGAGGGATGGGGTGACTGGGTGATAGACACTGGGGAGGGTATGTGCTCTGGTAAGCGCTGTGAATTGTGCAAGACTGTTGAATCTCAGATCTGTACCTCTGAAACAAATAATGCAATATATGTTAAGAAAAAAAAAAAGAAGAAGAAGAAGGTAGCAGGAGGGGAAGAATGAAGGGGGGGAAATCAGAGGGGTAGACGAACCATGAGAGACGATGGACTCTGAAAAACAAACTGAGGGTTCTAGAGGGGAGGGGGGGTGGGAGGATGGGTTAGCCTGGTGGTGGGTATTGAGGAGGGCACGTTCTGCATGGAGCACTGGGTGTTATGCACAAACAATGAATCATGGAACACTACATCTAAAACTAATGATGTAATGTATGGGGATTAACATAAGAATAAAAAAAAAAAAGAGCCTATGTGGGATTTCTGTTTCACCCGCTAATAATCTGAGGCCCTCCCCATGGTCGACAAATCCCCACATGTCCTCGGCCCGCTGCCCTTCCTCCTCTCCTTCCATACCCACCTCCAGCCATGCTGGCCTCCTTCACCCCCCTGACCACACCTGGCAGGCTCCCGCCACATTTCTGCCCCTTCTGCCTGAAACACTCTTCCCCAGATACCCACCGAGTTGCTTCCCCGTTTCCTGGCCCCCTATCAAAAACGGTACCCTGTTCCATCAGCTTCTAGCCCCTTCCCCTGCTCTATTGACTACAGTAGAAGCTCCGAGAGGGTGGGGACTCTGCTTGTTCCTGTAATATCTCCAGCACCAAGACCAGCACCTGGCAGGGACTAGGTGCTCAATTAAGTAACAGTTTCCTGAATGAATTGGGTGCTTTTCAGTCTAAAATCACTCTGTACATTTCTTTTTTATACATGTCTATATTTTCCAAATGTTCTGCAGTAACTATGATATTTAGTCAGAAAAAGCAATACAAAAAGACAAAAGGCTTTTTTCCAGGCCCATTCTTTGGGCAGACTGAGAGCTGCCATGAAACTGTTACAGGATCACAGGGTTCTTGTCTCACGGAGTTGAAGAATGAACCTCGCGGACACAACAGGGTGAAGGGAAGTGAAAGTTGATTAAGTGAAGGTGAGAACAGAAAGCAAAGAAGAAGCTCTCTAGAGAGAGAGGGGTCCCGAAGGGGTTGCCACTGAGGGCTTCTAGTGGCAATCTTCCCTGGAGAACTGACTGGGAAGCTTGTGGCCTTGAGTTTCTGGTGCCATCTTGGTTTGAGCACGGACTATTGCCAACATCCTTAATGACTTAATTCTTTGAGTTTTGGCCATTTTCTATGATACATTGTAGCCGCCAAAGAAAAATACTCCCTGACATCCCAGGCCAGGTGGTCTGTTTCCTTATCTCTTGTTCACTCTGGCTTAATGCTTCTGCTTGCCAGGAATAGTCTCAGAGCCCAGCCAGGGGCCCCCATCTTTCCCTGCCTATACCTTAACCCTTTCCTTAGTCAAAATGACTTAAGCCTCCCCACCTGCCCAACCCCAGGTCTGAGTGGCACCAGGTCCGTCCTGAGCTCCTCAGAGCCATAACAATACTGGGAAGAGCCACCAGTTTCCTGATGGTAGACAAGAGGATTCAGTGGGGGCCAAGCAGCCTGTTTACCTAACAGCATCTTGGGGTCAGTGAGAGGAAAGTGGGGGGGTGGGGGAGGGGAGTAAAACAGACCCATAACAACTGAGCCACGTCCTCCGCTCTCCCTGCCCGACGGGCCAACACAGCTCCCACCTAGGTCCAGGCTTCCGGGCCTTCCCATAGGAGGCGCAGGGGCTGGGCGCCATGATTTCACGGGCACAACGTGCTTTCCTCAGCCAGGTTTTCTCTCCGTTTTCTATGCAGACTGTTTCTCTGAGCTGCCTCTGCTCATCTGTGTGACTGAATCCAGAACAAAGAAGAAGCGTCTTGGTTCCAGGGCCGGTCTCTGGCCTGACAGCGCCCCTTCTCCTGTCTCTGCATCCGAGCCCCTGGCTCCCTAGGTGGGTGGGAGTCCTGGGCTCCCCCATGACTCAGGGCCCGTGTTCGAAACCACCTTGTACCCTAGAAACAGCTCAGGAAATGAAAGCCCTTTGCCCTTGATTATTGGTTCCTTTTCAGATGGAATGCTTTCTGATCCTCTTTCAAAGGGCCCATCCAAAATAGGCATCTGAAAAGAGAACTGGGAAGCCACATGGCCCCACTGTCCTGCAGCCTCCTGAGCATGACAGCCCCAGGGGCCATCTGGTTCCTGCCTGCGCCGTCATGACCAGCCAGGTCACCCCACACCCAGGGACCAGCTGCTGTCTCCTGGGCCAAGACGCGCCCGATGTGCTCAAGAGCAGGGGTCAGCCAACTTCTAGAAAGAGCCAGCCGGATGGCGAATACCGTCGTCTTTGTGAGCCACAAACCGTCTGGCCTCTGTCACCTCTTCTTTGTTGGTTTCTTGGGACCCTTTCGAAATATAAAAACCATTCTTAGCTCACAGGCTTTCCAAAAACAGGCTGTAAGGGTGGGCAAAGTACAGCCCATAGGCCAAATCCAGCCCCCTGCCTGTTTTCGCAAAAATGAAGTTTTATTGAAACTCAGCCGTGCTCGTTTGTTTATGAATTACGTGCAGCTGCTCTTCGGCTGCACTAGCAGGACTGAGTAGCTACAACGGAGACTATAAAGCCAGCAAAGCCTGAAATACTTACTCTGTGGCCCTTTTACAGGAAACATTTGCCAAGTCCTGCCCTCCAGTAACAATGTGGATGACTCATACCTCTTTCCGTTTTTAAAATGTTTCACATGCGCTCCTTTTTAATACTGGAAACAATTTTTTGAGATTGCTATTAGGCTCATTTCACAGACAAGGACACTCAGGACATACGGCTGATAAGTGGCAGAACCAGAACCCAAACCCAGATCTCTGGCCTCTCAACTGGGGATTTTTGACCAGATAAAGCTACTCCCAACAGGGCAATCTCTGAAGCCTGGGATTATACTTCTCATTCGGCTCCAGCGGGAAGGAGGCAGCAGGTCCCTTGGAGTCAGCGTCTGAGACAGCCTGGGCAGGGGAAGCCACCCAGCTGACCTTAACAAACTCTCAGGATTGTCCTGAGATCCTAGTGTGCAGAGAGTATCTCCAAGGGCTTTCTGCACACAGGAAAAGACTCTTTTGACAGACTGCCCAGCTGGCAGGAGAGCTGCCCTTTAAAATCCAAGTTTTAAATGTTTAACAGGTAGTCGCATCCCCGTGAAGGGCGCGGCAATCCTTCCACGGGGTGCTGGGACTGGCCTTGGGACCCGCTGCCACCCAGGGCAGCCATTCCGCGCCTCCCCCTCAACAGTCTGGGATGGCGATGCCATCAGTTGTGGGAGAGAGACCCCCAGTGGACATTGGTGGTATTGCAGCCTCCCAGAGCACCTCCCGCACCCACCTCTTGCTCCCAGTTCACTACTTGGGCTGGGAGTCTAAAACGCGGGTATTGTCATTGAGCCCCAGTACAGGCAGGTAAAGGAGAGTTGTCCTCCTCGAAATCCTCCCTGAGGGACGTTGGGACAGTACGCCTGTTTAACAACGCTGCCCTTTCCCCACCCGTGTTAGGGGCACTTCCTTTGTGCTGCCTTGATGGCCCTTCCTGCGCTTTCAGTCTTATCTGTGGGGCACATCTGCCTCTTGAGGACAGCTGGCCTCTGTGAAGCTTTGTTTTAGCTTCCTCCAGTCCAGCTTTGCTCCAGGACCTGTTCTGCGTGTGCCATGATATTGTTAGTTTTGCTTGTTGCTCTTGTTTGTGGGGGGTTTTTATTTGAATTGAACACCAAAATCATAAACTAGGATTCCCAGCCTTTCTGCAAAAGTCTGACCACATTTGTTCTGAGTTCTTGGGCAGCATCCAGTGGCTGAAGCTGAGGAGCTGCTTCCCCCTTTGGAGAGGCAAGCATTCTCAGTTTGACGCAGTCCCCACCATCCCCTATTGTCCCTTACTGCCTGCCGTGCTGTTGATTACATTGCCTTCCCGGTCCCGAGAGAAGCTTCACAGCTACATCCCCCATACAGAATAATTGCCATAATATTAGCGGCTACCACGGGACCAGACACCATGCTGCACATGGTACATACATTCTCTCGTCTAACCCAGTGGAGTAGGTATCATTATTCCCAACTCATAATGCAGAAACAGATTGACCATCCCTAAGCACTCTCCCTGTGGTCAGACAGCAAGTATTTACCCCATGCAATTAACTGCTGTGACCAGGCAGGCAGGTAGATCTGGATTTAATTCCCTGAGATAGTAGAAAGTTTGCATAGACAGAAAATGTCTTTATGAGCCACATACTTGAGTTGAGTTTTAGTTATGGACATATGCAATTTTCCTCGTCAGATACCAGGCTCCTCCCATTGGTTTAGAGGGCAGCAATGGCTCAGTAAAGGCTCCAAACAATCACTAGGTTTTTCTCTTTTTCTACCCATAACAAGTTCAGGAATGGCTAGCCTTGATCCTGATTATGAAGTGGCCAAGATATCTTTCGTCTTTGGTGTGGAAGACACCGGAATACTCTCCTTTCCTTCCTCAGGACCCCAAGTCTTCACCCCCTTCTGATGCCATGAGCCCAGCACCAAGCTCCCCGCTGTGACACGGCGTCTGGGCCTAAACTCTGAGATATCACCTCACTTTCTAGATTTTCCAGTCCCTTTTGTATGTCAAAATATCCTCCATTAAAACATCATCTGCCATGTTCCAAATTTTCAAGCTCTTGCTAAGTGACTGTTAAGTTAATCTGAGAAATGACTGGGGAGATGAGGTGCTGATAGACTCATTCGTTCTTCCAACATCCACCTGTGAAATATCCATCCCCTCCTTTTAAAACTATCTCAGGGCTCATAGGAGACTGAAGCCCAAATTCTTAGCACTCCAGCCATCCTCCCCACCCAGCATTCCCCCTGGCCTTCCAATGTCTCCCACACCTCTGTCCCCTCCAGCTACTGGGTCTTTACAACTGACCTTGTCCTCTGCCTGGAAATCTTTTCCACCCCGTGGTGGCCAGTGACTGCCTCCTTGCGCTTCAATCTGTGTTCAGTCACAGCTTCATCAAAAAGCATTCCCTGACCTCTCTGACTAGATCACGGTCAGACTCCAGCACCACGAACCCCTCCTCAGGGGCAGAATTCTGCGTTTATTTGATGAGCACATCTGTGCCCTCATCAGATGATGGGTGCCATGATGCTCTCATGGCAGGACTCTGCCTGTATCCCCAGTACCTCCATGTCCAACTTGTATTTGTTGAATTTGTTTGTGGCCGGGGGGAGGAGGAAACGGAGGAATTTCTCGTTGGAATTTTAGTTGAATCTAAAATGAGTAAATTTAGTGAGAACCTAAAAGACTTGCCCAAGGAGGCAGCCGAAAGTTAGACCCCAGTTCCCAAGACACATTTCCTTTGCACTCTGTCATTCTTACCTCTGGAGCTTTTGCGGGCCTCTTGGGGCTGTGCTGAATAATCGCGCCCTGGAAATTATGATGGTTTTGGAGGCCTGCCCAGTCTGGCTCCCGACACAGATGGTGCAGTAGAATCAGCCTGTGGGAGGGTCCCTTTGCCACGTGCAGGGGCTGCAAGCGCCAGGACAGAGCTCTGGGGCACAGAAAGTCATCTCCCACTTGGCACCACCCAGGAGGGCCCCTGGGGCACTAGGCGTGGTCGTAGCAGGAGCGTGAGACCCAGGCTAATCCCTAGAAGAAAAGGGACCATCTACTGTGCCCTTACAATGGGCAAAACGCTTTAGGGACACTATTTGGTTGATTTTGACGCGAGACCTGCCGGAAACATATTATTCTCCCCATTTGCGGCTGATGAAACAGGACCAGAGACTGAGCTGGCCAAGAATCACACAGGTAGCCAGGGGAAGAATGGGTTTTTAAACCCGATGTGTCAGGTTTCTGAGCAAATTCTTACACCACGATGTAGCATGCCCTCAGATAAAGAGGAGAATGCTCAAGACTTCATGAAAGTACAGGATATAAGGACTCAATATAAGAAGAATAAGGAGAGAGCCAGAGGGGGCCGGAGTGAGCCCTCGTAGTGGAAGGCTCAGGAGGGGGTTGCTGGTCCTGGGAGCAGGGGAGCCCGGGACCCAAGGAGGAAGAACTGGCTGGTGCGTAGACGCGCAGAATGCAGGGCGCCTGGCTGGCTCAGTAGGCTAAGCATCTGATTTCAGCTCAGGTCATGATCTCAGGGTCCTGGGATGGGGCTGCGTCGTTGGGCTCCCTGCTCAGCCGGCGTCTGCTTGGCCCTCTGCCCCTCCCCCCACTTGTACTCCCTCACTCTCTTTCTCTCTCAAATAAATAAATAAAATCTTTAAAAAAAGAAGAAGAAGAAGAAGAAGTGCAGAATGCAGCAGGGCTCTGGCAGAAGAGTGGAGAAGGAGAGGGGCCTGGGCGGAGGAGGCCTCCATCATGTGGAGCCTCAAGCTCAAAGCATTGTCCTGTTTCCCCAGGCCACACCCTTCCTTCCTCCCTGCTATTTTTAGCAAAAGGAATTTTTACTTCCACCTTATATGGAAACATTCATTCAACCGTCCTAGATCTGAAAGAAGAAAATGCAGTCCAGTGGACCAGTCATCTAGTCCAAAGGAAAATGCAGGGAAACGACCCTGTCCTTGATGGTGTGTCTCAGATGCCTGCTTCTGAGAAAGGGGCACGGAGGGGGGAGGGGCGGCATTGTGCTTCCCACTGAGGGAGGGGGCTCTCGAAGGGGCACAGCTGGCACTCAGCAGCCCAGGCCTCTCCTGGGCAACTTTGGGCACTTGATGTTCCCGATTCATTCTCCCCCCTCCAGAGGGAAAGGCAGAATTGAATGGCCTTGAATGCTTCTTGCACTTACGGTTTGATGCTTCTCCAACTTGGACCTGGGGGTGCGAGCAGTGCGAGACAAGAAAAAGGACCGTGGTGCTCAGGAGTCACCCAAGAGGTGATTTAGCAGCAGACTCATTGACGGTATGAGACTGTGTTTGAACCTGACCTCATCCGCATGGATTTTGTACCTTGAGATTTTCTTATCATCTATAAGAAAAATGTAGATTTGAGTCGACTCCGCATGTTGTCTCAGATAAAGGGCACAGATTTTGATGCCAGGCAAGGGTTCAAAGGGTAAGACCTCAAGTAGGCAGCCCACCCCCTCTGAGTACCTGATGCCTCATTTCTAGAAGGATCACAGTGCACACCTCACGGGGTTCGAGGAGTTTCCGCAGAGAGAACATAGACACAGATCCTGGCAGGACTCCTACAAATCATCCGTCCTCCCACTGCGGATGGGAACGACCAAAGTGCAGGATGGAGTTAGCTGAGAATTGAAATCCATCCGGTATTTTTCCAGCACCAAACACGCGCCTTCGTCTTTCATGCACAGGCGCGGCTCAGAAACTCTGCAGACGGAGAACAGAAGCCTAGACGGTGGCTTCCCCTCTTAAGTGGATGAACTGAGATCTGAACCCCCATCTGCTGGATCCAACCCCAAATCGTCTTTTCCCAGATTCCCTGGTGGAGCAATCTGCCGGGAAGGGATTCAGCTTGGGGGTTGCTCGCGGAAGCCCCACTGTTTTCACAGGCACGTTTAACCTCCCCTTGTTCTCGGAACACCCTTCATTCTGGCTCGAATGGAACCAGCCTCCCCAGCCACCTGGGACAAGGGGATCTCTCGGCTGCTTCTTTGGGTCAGTCCAGGCGTTTCTAGCATTACCACACAACGCATGGCAAACGTTGCTATTTATACTGTGCCTCAGTGCTTTCCAAGGAGTTCGCTCACCCCCTGTAAGGTAGGAGGGGAGTATTTTTGCCCTGATGTTGCAGCTGGGAACAGGGCTGGGGAACTTCCTGACTCGCGGGCGGGGGGCGGGCATAGGGGCTCCGGGCCCTGCGTTCGTTGCACCTGCTGCTGCACACCCCTGGGGGGCTCTCACCAGCGTGACTCCTCCAGCCACTCAGCCTTTTGTCCCAGGGGTTCTTGTCACCCAGAGGCCGAGGCGTGGGGAGGGCTGAGCGGCAAAGCACCTGGAAACTCAGGAGTAACAAGGCTGTTCATTCTCTCCAGGGACTGAGACAGTAAGCTCCTTAAATATGCACTTCCTGGGATGCCTGGGTGGCTCAGTCGGTTAAGCGACTACCTTCAGCTCAGGTCGTGATCCTGGAGTCCCCAGGTCGAGTCCCGCATTGGGCTCCCTGCTCAGCAGGGAGTTTGCTTCTCCCTCTGACCTCTCCCCTCTCATGCTCTCTCTCTCTCTCTCAAATAAATAAATAAAATCTTAAAAAAAAAAAAAAAAAAACACTTCCTCCAACTGGTTGTGTCATTCCCTTCATGGTGATTGCAGCCAAGGATGTGGTGTGACATCAGGGTGTGTGAGTCACTTCATCCACTGAGGGCTTACATCCGGGATGTGCTCTCTTGTACCCCCAGAACCCCTTGCCCCGGCTCAGGGCCCCCGATCATCTACAGAGCCGAAACCTGCCCCCCACAGGCCCCTCTGACCACACAGGTTTCTCAGGAAACCGACCACCCAATCTAGGCTGCAGCGTTTCTAACTTGTCTCCACTTCGTCTGTAACCCCTTCTCGGGCCCAGCTTGGAACCCTGGTCTAAGCCCCCTGATGGCAGCTTTGTCCACACCTCTCTGAGGGCCAATCACCTCCCAGCTAAGTGCTTAGGGCAGGCAGACCTAGGTCCCAGTCCCGGTTCTACCCCTTTATGAGCAAAGCAGGCTTAACTATGTTACTACACTTCTGTGAGTCTGTTTTTCCATCTGTATAATGGGAATAATACTACCATCTACCTTCTAGTGAAGGGTGAGATGCAGCAGGCAATGCACTTAGCAGAGTGACTGGCACGTGGCAAAGGTTCAATGAATGATGTGTGTGTGTGTGAGCATGTGTGCACGTGTGTGCGAGCACACGCATGTGAATGTATATATCCCTCCCGAGTCTTGACTCCTTCACTGTATTCTTTCGCCATCTACCAATTCGAGCACCACGGGGCTACATCATTTCTACTTTCTCAAGAATCCTGGTTTCTTATTTCGTCCTTCCTCATGCTTTATGGCTTCCTAACCTCTTTTCCCACACCCATTTCCTAGCCCTTTGTGGCCTTCATTTCTCCTGCTCATTTCAAATGGTTTACAATAGCAACATATCAACATTTACAACATTTTCAGTTCTATCTAACGGGACAGGGAGTGGAAGCTGGTGGACTAGCTGCAGAATTAATTGAAGCAATTATTTTTTTAAAAAAAGGAAGGAAAACTTACAAAGGATGCAAATAGGCAATTCACAGAAGAGCAAGTCCAGATGATCAAAAAACATAAAAAGCTTTCAGACTCTAGCAATCAGGGAATGTAAATTTAAGTAGCAATGAGATACTTCTTTGCCTCTATCAGAATGACCTACATTTTAAGATTAATGATTCCTCTTGCTGGTGGGAATGCAGGGAAAAAGTTACTTTAATCATCACTCTTGGGTGGCACAGCAATCTTTGGAAAGCAATCTGGCAACATCTACTAAAAATGAAAATTAAAAATACACATATCCGTTCCACTTCTGGGAATCGACCCCACGGAAATAAAAAGACAGTTGACCCTGGAACAACACGGGTTTGAACTGCATGGGTCCACATATATGCAGATTTTCCCCCATAAACACAGTACAGCACTGTAAATGTATTTTCTCTTCCTTATGATTTCCTTAATAACATTTTCTTTTCTCTGGCTCCCTTCATTGTAAGAACACACTATATAATAAATAGGACATACAAAGTGTGTGTTAATTGACTGTTTATGTTATCGGCAAGGTTTCTGGTCAACAGTAGGCTACTTAGTAAAATTTTTGGAGAGTCAAAAGTTATACATAGATTTTGGACAGTGTGGGGGTCAGCGCCCCAATCCCTATGTTGTTCAAGGGTCAACTGTGCCAGAATGTACAACTATATGCACAAGGATGTATAATAAATTGTTGCTTATGGTGGAAAACAAAACCTAGAAACAAAGCAAATGTCCTTCAGAGGTGGGGAGGGTGAATATATTAGGACATGTGAAGAAATATTCTGCAGCCATTAAAGAGAACAGTTGGACCTAGATCTGGTGATTCATAGGGATTACCATGAGTAATTGGTGAGAAAAAGTGAAGTGCAGGAAATTATACATAAAATTATCCCACTCCTAAGAAGAAATATGCCACCCTTCTTTGCCTTCTGGCCCCATTGTATATGAGAGCCAACATGCAGGAGCATGGAGGAAACATGGCGGAAGCCAGACCCAGCTGTCATCCTGGTTTTGAAGGCGGATGGGAGAAAGTGAGGGAGGACCCCATCAGAAGAAAAGGAAAAAAAAAAAAAAGGACTGCATCAAAATTAAAACAATATATGTAACATAATCCCATTTCTCTATTAATATAAAAGCATGTGTGTGGGTATATGTGAGAAGAAAATTTAAATTACATATACGTATCTTGAACATTTTTGTTAACCCAAAACATACACATGTACATTCCTTCACCAGTAGTTTGACATAGAGTCAAGGCCTTTGCGTTGAGAATATGTCTATTTTTTTGGAGTTCTGCCCTACTGTGCTTTTGTATAAAAATCACACCCTGGATGCATTGTCTACAATTTCTAATTTCGGTTTCCACAGAGCGGAGCGTGAACTTAGACACCTGAAAACAAGTTGAGTACAGGAACCTTTTAGATACCATGCTTTGCCTCCGATCCTTCCCATTGTCTTGCCTCCATCCAATTCAACAATAACCTTATTTTAGGATCTCTCCTTTATTAAGTCTCTGCAAACTGTCAACTTGGTTCTGACAGAAACAATAACTCTTTCTTTCACACCCACATTTCCCCAGTTTATGTGACATTCATTGAAGCGCTCCAGCATGGGACAGGCTTGGGAGCAAACACATGTCACTGCAAGTGACATTCAGGTCAACAGGGAAGACACAGTACCCCGTGGGCCCGCGCATTCAGTGTGCCCGCCGGGAGGGAAGGGCAGCCAGCGTTTCATGGGGAGAATGCACGGGGTCACCCAGCCTGGCGAGTCAGTCACGAGAGGCAGAAGTCCACGTGCTGTCCATGGGAGAGTGGGGAGCTGCCCTGTTGGGTCATATCCAGCTCTCTACGTGACTCAGTTATTCTGTGATTGAAATATCTGGGGTTGGGGGCGCCTGGGTGGCTCAGTTGGTTAAGCGACTGCCTTCGGCTCAGGTCATGATCCCAGGGTCCTGGGATCAAGTCCCACATCGGGCTCCCTGCTCTGCGGGGAGCCTGCTTCTCCTTCTCCCCCTCCCCCTGCTTGTGTTCCCTCTCTCGCTGTGTCTCTCTCTGTCAAATAAATAAATAAAATCTTTAAAAAAAAAAAAAAAAAGAAATATCTGGGGTTGGGAGTGAGTGTGGGGGTCAGCAGACATGGAGGAGCCCAACCCCTTCCGCCATACATTGGGTAGCATTTTGCTGCTATGGCAAGAAGTGTGGGGTAAGTGGCTTGACTGGGGGCGGGCCGTCCAAGGGTTTGCAATCCTGTCTTGGGACGGGTGATGCAGCGTCGGGACAGGACTCTGGCCCAGCTTCACGTCTCCCAACTTGCTAGGTAACTTTGGACATATCATTTTAGGTCACTACACCTGTTCCCCCCTCTGCAAAATGGGCGACACTGTCTCACTCACAGTTTTCCTGAGGTTCAAATGAGATGGGTCTTCATAGAAGTACTTACACCGTGAGAGGACTGGCCAGGTGGTTTTCAGGCATGCACACCTTACATAACATCTGTAGCAACAGGATGGGAGGAGGAATTCCATCCCTTCAATGAGCAGCAAGGTTTACGGCAAAGAACTTGCTCTTGGGCCAGAGGGACAGGGTCGGGTACAATTTTGGCAGGAGCTTGCTGCTCGTCTTTGGGCAAGTTGCTTCATCTCTCTGAGCATCTGTCTGTCACCTGGGAAACGGAGGACAAGAATGGGAAAATCACACTTCACTTGAGCCGCTATGGTGAGGATCACATAGAGCTTCTGAGTCCAAAGGTGTCTGGTACACAGGAGAGGCTCAATAGATGCTATTCTTGTGGACGTGATTCTTAGTCCACAAACTAAGACACGAAGGAAATGGAATGTCCTCTA